AGAGGGGGTGCAGTTCTCTTAGCTGCTTCCTGCTAGTCAGGGTCGTTGGGTTCCTTGGAACCAGTCCAGTCCTGTTTTCAGGAGATCTCCAACTTCTTGTCTCACAACAGCAACAGGAGCAGCAGGGGAAGCAGCCTTGTTCTTCCTCCAGTCTCCACTCTCTGGGCTCTGGCATTTACTCCCTCTCCAGAGTCCTCAGAGTTAAACTATCTGCAGCTGGCAAAGAGCTCCTCTCAGAGCCCTCATGAGGCAAATAGTTTGCTGCTGTGAACCATCTCAATCAGCCCCACATCCCACACCTGAAACAAACAAAAAAAAAAAACACATTCACATCCACCAACACACACACACACACACACACACACACGAGTGATGTCCCTGCCCACTCTCAACTCCTCTCTCTCATTCTGTTCTCTGCATCAGGAGTTCTCTCTGTAGTAGTAAGCCTCCTAAGTGCAGTGGGCCTAGCACTATTCACAGTGCCTTCTTAGGGAATGATGCAAGTAGGTCTCATATTTTTGTGTGGAAAAAAGGACATGGGTAGGAGCTAGAGAGATGGCTCAGCCCTAAGGACTGGGTTTGTGTATATATGGAGAACAGAACTGGGGCTGGAGGGATGGCTCAGTGCACGGCACTCACTGCTCTTGCAGAGGACCTGGGTTCGTCGGTCCTGAGCACTTGCATCAGGCAGCTACGACAGCAGCAATTCCATCTCTGGGGACCTGACACACTCTGCTCTTCTCAAACATAGGCACACATCCCCACATAATTTAAAAATCTTTAAAAAGAGCGAAAGTCAGCTGCAGACGTTACATGCATAGATACACACATGAAGCATGTCTTTGTGCTATCAAGAAGCCTCAGAAAACATTGGCTGAGGGAAACTGAGCTGAACACGGAGTGAAGGGAAACCTCACAGATAACCCAGCTGTGCGGTGTGGAACTGGGGGAGTTTCAGTTAGAAAAAGGACCTTTCCAGGTAGCAGAAACTGAATGTGCAAAGGACCTGTGTCCAGCGAGAGCAGCTGTGTGTGGCAGATTGCATTTTCCAAAGATGGCTGCCTCACTGTGAGCCACGTCATGGCTTTTCTTACAGAAATAATGTTATACTCATCTGCATGAAGATGCAGAGCCATGCTTTCTTCCTTTCAAGCCTGTGACCATAGCGACATCATGCTAAGTACACGTTCTGTCTCTCTCATTTGCTTGCAGCCAAGTCTCCATGCTGGGAGGCAGCCTCACTGCCACTTGGAGAGTCTCCAGCTCATGACAGATCTGACAAAGAGAGCTGCTTCCGGCGACTCCAGCCCTAGCCTTTGAGCTGCTGCAGCAGGTGCCAAGGGGAACAAGCCAGGTCCAAGTTGCAGATCTGCAAACAAAATAATGCCACCACCATATTAAGCCATTAAGTGTTGGCACGATTTGTTCTGTGGCTGTAGATAACTGCACATGGGGACCTGAGAGGGGCCACTGGAAAGAACGCAGACGCTCGAGTAGGACACTGAGCTGAGGACGAAGGGAGCCAGGGCTCACCCTGACCTTGCAGCCAAACCCAGCAGTGCAGAGGAGGCTCTGCTGTGGCCAAAGAAAGACGCAGCCGGTGCTGTGTGCTGCTCTCGGCTCCTCTGCACCCCTCAGCTGACCCCCCTGCCCAGGGCACACTGCCACCACTGCCCAGAGGCTGAGGCAGAGCTCAGGAGCGACGCGCCTGGTGAAGGAACACACACGCGATGTCCCGTGGGTCTGGAGGCCCCTGTGACACCTCTGCTGCCCCCGTGGGTTTCCGGTCCCAGCCCCAAAGTGAGAATAGAAAAGTCAGGCTTCCCAGTGCTTTCCTTATCAACGTAAGGACAAATCCTGCCCCGCACAGCCTTGCCTCCGTCTGCAGCCAAGCTCAGGACCGGCCTGGCCCGGAGGAGCCAAGAACGGGGAGGTCAGCCGGCTAGGTGTTGCCTCCTCTTCCTCATTCCCTTCTTGTTGTTTTTAGCTGACAAATGGTTCTGTGTGTGAGTCTGTACAGTGCGATGCGGTGTTTCCAGCAGCTGATTGGGCCTTGCCTGGCACGCTTCCGCTGAGCCGCCATCCCCGGCACTGTGTGACCAGTTCAAACACATATTCACTGTGAAATGATGAATTTAGCCTGTCAGCATATCAGCCACATCCACTGTGTCATTTCTCCATTTATAATCCCATTAGTTATTTTGGAATACATTATACAGAGGCCAGCATGACCACTTAGGGGCGAAGATGCTTGCTGCCAAGCCTTGCCCTCTCATCTCAGTTTCTGGGACTCATGTGGTGGAAGGAGAGAACTTATTTCCACAAGCCGTCCTCTGACCTCCACAGGTGCTTCTTGGCCAGCACCCACCCATCCTCCAACAAAGCAAAGAAATGAGATGTAAAATATAAAGAAACACATGGACACGTTGCCTTTAATTCCAGCCACCTTGAAGCACAGCACTTCCTGGTGCTGTCTCTGAAGCTCCGTGTCAGGCTCTCTCTCTGAGCACTGTCCCTGCCATCTCTTCTTTTTAAATTTTTTTTCATTAATTACAGTTTATTCACTTTGTATCCGAGCTATAGCCCCCTCCCTCTTCTCCTCCCATGCTCCAGTCCTAGTCCACTGATAGGGGAGGCCTCCTCCCCTTCCATCTGACCCTAGCCTATCAGGTCTCATAAGGACTAGCTGCAATGTCTTCCTCTGTGGCCTGATAAGGCTGCTCCCCCTCTGGGGGAGGTGATCAGAGAGCCTGCCACTGAGTTATGTCAGAGACAGCCTCTGTTCCCCTAAGTAGGGAACCAATTTGGAGACTGTGCTGCCATGGACTACATCTGTGCAGGGGTCCTAGGTTATCTCCATGCATGGTCCATAGTTGGAGTATACACAGAGGGCCTCTGTATAAGCCACATTTTAAGAATATCTTCATCCATGGATGAATACTTATACCCATTCTACATCTTGGCTGTTCCAAGTAATGCTTGGCTTTGTCACGTTGCTGTGACAAGACCCCTGACTAAAATCAGCTTAAGAGAGAAAGCTTGTTTAGCTCACAGGTTTTGAGGGTGTGGCCCACTGTGGTTTTCCAAAATGTCCAACCTCTTCAAACCCTTAATCTGGTGGTTTGGTTTTGACCCGATGTCCAGGACACTTTGGGAGTAAGTTTCTAATCTTCCTCCCCCCCCCCCCGTTCTCTGTTCCTTTGCTGCCCATGCCCAGTTTCTGGACCCTGGTTGGGGCCTCCAATACGGTGAGGATATCTAGGCTAGAGAGGCAAACAGTAGCGTGGACCCTGGAGACCATGGTGGCTGGGTTTGCCCATCGTGTCCTGTATCTCTGGGTAATCCTGCTTGGTTGAGTTGCTTTCCACGAACACTGGGCGACTCCTTAGCCTCAGAAGCCCAAGGTCTCACTGACCTAAGCCAGTCGTGGCAGGCTGATTGTTATTGCCGAACGAACGCTCTGACTTGGACCAGTGTGTTAGGAAGGGAAAACCTCTCCTACAGTTCTCAGTGCTCTCAAAAATGAACACAGGATATCTGCACAGACTGCTTAAGGTAAGGTTTCCTTTTCATGTGACTCACGGGCTTGATGAGGGAGGCTCAGCCAAGGGAAGAGCTAACAAGTTAAAGAGAGAACCTCATTCCTCAGAGATATAGTTGGGCAAGGAAATTATTGAGTGTGGTATCGTTGTAGCTCTGATCTGATTAGGAGAAACAAGGCACAGTTGCAACTCCAGTAACAGACGTTCACTTTTGAGTACCTGTGACTCAGTTTCCCCAGCTGGTGCAATGCCTGTTGTGAATGCTCAGATCATAAGCTTAGATGACTGTGAACAGAAGCTGAGGGAAAAATAATGGCATTATGAGCACTATCAACAGACCAGGCCCTGTGGTAAATGCTTTCTGGTTGTCTTTGAGATGAAGTAGGGTTGATTGCTTGTTTGCTTTGAAAGAAGCCAGCCTTGAAATTACCATATAGCTAAGGCTGGCCTTGAACTCTGGATTTTCCTGCTTCCACCTCCCGAGTGCTGAGATCACAGGTGTATGCTACCATATCTGGCTGCCTAGCAGTCTTAATATACGGCCTCAGGGGCTAGAGAGGTGACTCAGTGTTTAAGAGCACTGGCTGCTTTTCCAGAGGAATGGGGTTCAATCCCACCACCCCGTGGCAGTTCACAACATTCTGTGACTCCAGTTCCAGGGTACTTGACATTCTCTTCTGGCCTACACTGGCACTGCACACACACAGGGCACACAGACATGCAGGCAGGCAAAACACCTATACACATAAAGTAAAAATAATAGTGTTTAAAGGCCGCAAATAGTTCAATGCACTTCCCTTTAGAGGGGCTCTATTTCCCTTCTTATTGGACCAAGTGGTTCTGTTAGTGAAGTCCACTCTCGCTCTCTGTATTTGTGGATTCTGTACCCAAGATGAAAAATACGTTTTTAAAATTGCACCAAGCTCGGAGGTAGAGTGACAGAGTGCTTGTCTCATGCGCAGAGCTCTGGAACTGAGCTCCAGCACGGCCGAAAGGAAAGCATGCTGAACAAGCACCAGCTTTCATCTGGTGATGCCACCCCCTAAACAACACAGATAACAACCTTTCACATAGATCCTCCTTGTCCTTGAGCCGAGGGTCCCCTGCCTCCCCCTTCTGAGTACTAGGATGGAAGCACGAGCTGTCCCTTGGCTGGGTGGCATTGTTGTGTTAGGTAATAGTTGTAACCTAGAAATGACTCAAAGTCACAAGAGGACTGTGTGAGGATATGCAAACTCTGTTGCGTGCTGTTCTAGTTGTTTCTTGTTTTAGGAAAGCACTCTCAGCTCAGCCCAGCACGTCCTACCCCTGCACTCTGTGCCTCCTGGGCTACCCGGTTTTCTCCCAGCTCTGCTCAGTTCCAGGTTCTTGGATCGCTGCCAGGTTATCCAGCCCTGCCAGCCCTAGAGGCAGGCCAAAGGGGTGGTGCTGGTCGCGCTGCACCTCTGCCCAGCCCGAGGCCCTCCTGAGCTCCCTTTGCTCCTCTGACCATCTCTGCCTGCATGCCTACTTACACCCAAACAACTCTCAGACCTGACACAGAAGAGCTAAGGCCATGCGAGCCTGTGAGCGTGTGCACGTGTGTGTGCGTGTGTGAGTGTGTGTGTTCTCGAGCACACCTGTGCACGTACATGTGCGCATGTGGAGTCCAAAGGACAGTCTTGGCTCTCGCTCCTCAGGCACTGTCCACCTTTCTCTTTTCTTTCGACAGGCTCTTTCACTCAGCCGGCTTGTGTTGTGCTGTTGATTTTTGTCAACTTGATGCAAACCTGGACATATCTGGGAAGAAAGACTCTCAGGAAAGAAAACACCTCTATCAGGTTGGCCTGTGGGCACGTCTGTGGGGTATTGGCTTGATTAATGATTGAAGGGAGAGGGCCAAGCTCACTGTGGGTGGTGCCCTCCCTGGGCTGGTGGTCCTGGTTCTGTAAGAAAGCAGGCTGAGCAAACTGTGGGGAGCAAGCCAGTGAGCAGCACCCTCCATGGTCTCTGCACCAGCTCCTGCTCCAGGTTCCTGCCCTGACTTCCCACTATGGCCTACGAGTTCTAGGATAAAACAAACCCTTCCCTCCCCAGATTGCTTTTGGTTGTGGTATTCATCACAGTAATAGAAACCCTAACTAAGACAGGCTTTCAGGCTGTCTGGTCAGAGAGTCTCAAGGATCCCTGCCTCCCGTTTGTCTCTGCCTCCACAGAACTGGGATAGCAAGTGCATATCACTGAATCTGTGTGTGTGTGTGTAAGACTGTGCCTGTGAGTGTATTTGTGTGAGTGTGAATGTGTGTGTGTGACACTGTATGAGTCACTGTGCATTACTGTATATCCCTGTGTGTATGTTCATGTACATGAGGATGATATGTGATATATGCACGTGTCTGTGCAGGGGTACACATTCACAGAGGCAGAGGAAGATGTTATTGTCTTGACATGGGACCTTGCACTGAACCCGTAGCTAGACTGGAAGCCAGAACACCCCAGCAGAGCCCCACCACAGCCCCAGGGTGACAGGTATGCAGAACTGTACCCAGGGTTTCTCTGGGGATTTGAACTCCGGTCTTTGTGCTTATACACTGAGCACTGTGACCTCGGAGCCACTCACTAGTCCTGTGGCTCCTCCCTGCCCCTTTCTGTTCTACATAGTGCCTGGGGACCAAACTCAGCAAACACTTCACTGCCTGAGCTGTCTCTGCAGCCCTCCCTGAGACTTTTAAATACAAGTTCCCAGCTCAGGACCAAACAAATAGGAAGCAGATGAGCAGAAGCTGGCTCAGCTCTACCACCGACTAACTGTGACCAAAGGGAAGTCTTGACGTTTCTGACACTCAGCTTTGGCTCCACAGGACAGATAATTCCAGCTCACACCATTCAGGGGGTGCAATGAAATGCACACGTTGGCCACTCACCAATCATTACCAACCTCTCAAGTGTGTGCAAAGACAATGCATCTGACCTCTTAGCGTCTTGGAGGCCATAGATATTACACTTGTGAACGAAAGGGTTAACACCCCGGAAGGCACCTGCTGACTTCTTGTAGAATGAATTTCCAAAGGTTGGGTCAAATGACACCAGGATTTTTTTTCCAAGCTCGTGGTTAAGGGCAGGCTCTGCCTGCCCCCACCTGCTGCGCATGGGAGTGGGGCCTTCAAGGGGTGGCATGGATTTCTTCCCCCACCGCCTCAGCCCATGTAGTCTGAGTCCTTTGTTCTCCCAAACAAAGCAAGGGGAAAATGTGTAAATACAAGGGCTGAGCCCCGCTACACAAACAGACTTTCACCTGGGGAGGGTCAGGCCCCTCCCCCTGCAGTGGCTACAGTGGCATGGCTCTCAGAGGCTTGCCCCAAATGTTGCTGAACAAAGGACTGTTATGAATGAATGAATGAGTGAATGAATGAATGAATGACAGGAAGCAGGATGATGTCATGTCTCCTGTCAGTCCAGACAATCATGTCATTCTCCTCCTTCCCTCTTTCTCTTCTCCTCCTCCTCTCCTGCTCTCATTTTCTCCAGGGCCTTCAAGGGGCTCTCCAGAAGTCTGACATGCATCATCTATGGCTCTCTGCCCTAGGACTAGAAAACAGGCACCTGGAGGATTATGGCATCGACATAGTACTGAAGTATGCCGGGTGCCTGGATACAAACAGCTGCATACAGGCCCACTGAACACAGGCTTCGTTTACCCGCTGGAAACGCCAGGGATGCATCTTGGGAAGGAGGCAGCCTCCTCCCTCTTGCAGGCCGAAGCCCCAGATGGATCCCCGAACGTGGAGAATGAAGGACTCTTGGGACCCAGTCTTTGTGCCTCAGTTGGAGTGCCCTTGTGTCTGGCCTAAGATTAGAATATTTGGGAAAAAGTGTTACAAAATGCACCGAGCTGGCTTGTTCCACAGCTGATTTTTTTCTCCCCCTGACACAGGAAAAATAAAACCACAGCAGGCAAGCAGTCAGAGACAGTGGCTATTACTTTGGTTGCGAGACTACTGTGGCTCGCCCAGCTTCCTGGCTGTGGATTGACATAGTGGCTTTGAGGAAGCTACTGAGTTGCCTCCCTTGCTCCCCGCTAGCTGCTGTGGGTGCACATCTTAATGGACGCGCTGACCACGTTCATGGTCTCTGTCTGCCTCCTCACCGTATCAGAGCTCTTGCTTATGCTCAGGGCCCAATGGCTCAATCTGCACAGAAGCGTCTGCCTCGATGGGACTGAAAATCAAAACAACCAAATCAAGACTACACAGCGCTTAGTCGGAAATAAAATTAGCTGGGAATTTTGAATCCATTTGGAAAATGGCTGCTGTGGTAAAGATGGGTATTTTTAGTTTCCACTGCAGTTTCACATTGTTTTCTCGTCGTTGAGGTGAGGTGGGTAGGGGTGTGAGCCCCTCTTTCAGTGACAGACACACTCATTGGCTGGGGAGGTGGGCAGCTCTGTGGCTGAGCCCCTGCCCAGCATGCAAGAAGCCCTTGCTGGCTCCCCAGCAGTCTTCAGTGGGAATGAGTTAAGTGATGCTGTTTGTGGCTGCTGTGATAAGAGTATACTTTTTTAAAAAAAAAGGCTAAAAACATGACTACCTCCCCCTCACCATGGTGTCACACACATAATCGTAGCACTCAAGCTAGGGCAAGAGGAGTCTGAATTTTAGGCAAGCTTGGGCTAAATAGTATGAGTTTATTTAAAAACCATCGACTGAAACCAACCAACCCCTGGCCTGGTGGCTCACACCTGCAATCCCAGCACTTGGGAAGCAGAGGCAGGAGGATTGCCGCAAGTTTAAGGCCAGCCTTGGTTAGTTCTAAACAAGCATTGGCTACAGCATCAGATCCTACTTCAACATTTTTTCTTCTCAAAAAAAGATCACAGCCATCAAAGCTAAGCCTGCCCAGGTAATCCTCAGGCAGGCTCTGTGGACCTAATTTGGAGAATTAGATGGTAGGTCCTAACTTTTCTTGTTTTCTTCTTTTGTTCTTGTTCTTTGGAATGATTCAGGCCAAATCATGATTGCTGAGTTTCCTCAGTCCACCTCCAGGGCAACAGGGCCACACCTGGAAGCCAAAGCTTGTTCTTTCCTGAGCTTCAGCCCTCAGTGCAGCACTTCACAGTTGTGATGCCTCAAAGCCTTAGCAACCCCACCACCCAGCCTTCCTTCGCACACTGATTTGCATTAGAGCTGGACAAACCGTCTAGATTCCTGACACCCACCCAGGAATCCTGACCCAGGAGCATTTCCAAACACACTCGGGAATTCCACCCCGAGCAACTGCAGATCCGCACTCTGGCAAATGCCTGTCTGAATTCTTTACCATGTCTGCTGGAGATTCCGTGGCCAGATGTCTGTCTCCAGCAGGCCACTGTGAACTCTAGAAGGTTTAGGCCACTGTATGACATGTTGCTGATTTGCCAGGCCAATTACCAGAAGGTTAGGGGGGTCATTCAAGAGAAGCATGACCACAGAAACCCAGAAACCCACGCTGGCTCCAGCCAGGGTTACGACAGGCATCATGTTTAAGAGTCTGAGAAATTCTGAAGGGCCATGATCCTTGATTCATAGTGCCCTTGTCAATCACCAAGGGAGGCACTCACTGATAGCCAGCACCTGTCCCAGCTCTGTTTAGCAACTGCTTTCACCCGTACTCACTATGTTCTCAGCCAATGTCTCATTGTACATGAAGTGTTAGCTATATGCATGCACATAGGTGCCTAGCGTGGCAGGCTTGGTCTGTAATTCATAGCCACAGCTAAGGTCAAACTCACCTGGGAACGGAGCTTGGAGCAACAGCAGAGGCTAGTGGTCAGCTTCCACATATACCCTACTGCCTCAGGCTCTCCTGGGATGGAGCCCAAGTGTGAATTTATTTGTTCTTTTATTTATTTATGTATTCATTCATTCATTCATTTTTAAAGCATCTTTAGAGTCTGTACCTTCTCATCTCTACTCCCCTCTCTTAACTGATGATAATGCTTTTTTTTGGGGGGGGTGCTTTTCATTGAAATAAACACTAACATTTGTGATGTCCTTTCACACGAGCAGGGATTAGAAAGGATGGATGTCTGTAACATTTCCAATCCTCTTCCCAGCTTTAGGGGAGGGATTCTCTTGCATATATTGAAAGTGAGGCAACCAAAGCCCAGAAGAGTTTAAGTCAGTTGTCTAAGTTACTAAGTACAGATCTACATGAATATCCATCATCCCCTAGGAGGTTCTGAGGTCAGCAAAATGAATCACCTAGCTTAGCAGAGTAGCAGAAACACCTGTGGGCATTTTTCTTCCTAAGAAGAAGACACACCCTGTCCCTCCCCTTTAATATCTCCAGCTCTCAGTATCTCTGAAGGGGAAGTTACTCCCTGCTTCTGACGCTCCTCCGCTCCTAGTCTACCATGCACAGGTCCTCGCCCTATGCTGTAAGCATCCGTCTACTTCTTCGCCTATAGTCCTCCCAGGACCATGTCCCTCTCGCACCTAGTTAGGTACCTGGCTTACACACATAACCAACAAACATCTGTGAATGAATTGATGGATGAGCACATAGATAGCTTAAATCCAGTCTCAGCGAACACTTGTGAATTAATTGATGAACGGGCAGATAGCTGGAGGGGTGTATGGATGGCTGTGGATTGAATTAATGGGAAAGGGAACCAAAGCAACAAAAATGAGGATGTGACTAAAATGTTCGGAAGTTTTAGAATGGGAGAATTGCCTAACAAATGGTGGGATCCTGTTAGAAGGTGAGGCTGGCAGCAAGCACAACTCAGGGTAGAAACATACATGCCCTCAGATGTGTCTAGGGGAGCTTTGGGTTACTATGAATGGATGGTCATGCTCTGTGATGTGATACAGTCATGACAATACTGCTTAAGATGTTTGTTTTGAGACGTGGTTTTATGTTGCCAAGACCAGCCTTGAACCTTATATATTTCAAGGATGACCTTGGACTCGTGGTCTGCCTGCCTCCACCTCTCAAGGCTGGGATCATAGGCAAGCACACTGCACTTCATCTGTGCAGTGCTGGCGACGGAAGGCAGGGTGTAATGCATGCTGGACAGGCACTCTGCTGACCGAGCTCTGTCCCAGCCCCACCTTGGCTTTATATAATTCTTTTTTCCTCGAAGGGGTTAAATTGTCCAGTGAAGGCCAGCTCATCGGTTTCCATTTTGAAGAACCTGCTCAAGCAGCTGGCTGATCTGAAAGGAGAGAGGATATAATAAAGAGCATCTGTGTGGTGAAGCTGGGAGCCCTCTCTTCCTATTGCTGCACAGTGGTTCATACAAAGAGAAAAAGGTTTCGAAATATGGCTGGTTTTCAAGAGCATCATGGGGCATCTCAGAAGACAAAGCAGGTGAAAACATAACAGAAGCAGGCCTGACGCGTAAGTACTCAGAAAGGGCACAAAAAGAGGACATGTGCAAAAGGGAAGCTCCTGGCACCGATTGGTCTTGGTCTAAGACATGGTCTTGTGTCAAAGGGGAGCCTCGTGATAGGATGATGGGCAAGTCTTTAAGATCAATAAAAGCAGACTCAGAGTGTCCCAAACAGGGCTGGGGCTGCAGCTCTCTCGGTGGAATGCTTCCTTAGTGCACACAGCCTTCGGGTTGATCCCTGGCACCACATAAGGCAGCTGTGCTTGCGCACACTTGTAATCCCAGCTGTGCTTGTGCATTCTTGTAAAGTCCCAGCTGTGCTTGTGCACACCTGCACAATCCCAGAGGCAGAGGCAGGAGCATCGTCCTAGGCTACATTTCAAGTTTACCACCAGGCTAGACTACATGAGACTCTGTCACAAAAATGAGAATACAAGTTCTGAGCCCTTCAGGAGCACATGTATGCGCATGTACATATACACACATGTATATACATGCACACACACACGCGCGCACACCCCTCCTTGTGCAGACTTCACCCCTCTGTCCTTTACACTGCCTAGCATGGTATCTGTTTTGAAGACCAGAATGAAGATCAGCCCTCCCCCTGTAAACCAAAGCTGCTTTTTTTTTTTTTTTACCTCATTAACACATCATTAAGACACCTTTAGGTCCTCACTATCTATGTGAAGACATTGTGGGGAACAGGTCCCCTCTGCTTGCATTACCGGTATTTGACTAACAGTTCAAGGCCATTTGATGGCTGTGTGTCTATTCAGAACAGCACTTTTATCTGAGGCGGCAAAGTGGAGAATTTCCTCTGCAGAGCTGGGAGTCTGAGTTGGGCAGGTGGTATATGGAGGATGAGGATCCCTGCGGAACCTTGATTACGGGTCACTGAGCCACAGGAGAGACTAGAAGTCACTGTTGGGTCAACAGCTAGGCCTGAATTGCTGCGTCCCACAGCAGCCTCCGGGAAACACAGAGAGGAGGATACAGCGAACTTTTCCTCATAGGCCCACATCACTTAGAGCACCCTAGCTGGAGGAAAGGCTGCCATTGCTGCTGAGTCTCCAAACACTGCAGGACTTAGGGAATCAGACTTCTAGGGTGGTGAGATGATTCCCATCCACATGAAAATACACCCCGGACATTGGTCTCCACAGTTTGGCTGGAACCTCAAACTTGTCTCCCATTTTGGCTGTTGGAGGGAAAAGTTCAGTGACGGCTTTAAGCTGAGAAAATATGCTGTCTAGTCTCCATTTTATTTTTTTAAGGTGTAAGTGTGTGTTTAGATGTGTGTGTGCCCAGTGTATGTGTATGGAGGTTGACACTGCGCATCTTTCTCTCTCTCTCCTGGCATTGTTTCTTGACATAGGGTCTCTCACTGAACTTCGACTTCACTAGTTGGCTATGCTCGCTGGAAAGTGAACACCCAGAATCCTCTTGGACAGCAAGAGGGAGGAAGGGAGTGAGAGAGGGAGAGGGTGGTGGGGAGGAGGAAGAAACAAAACAAAGATGGCTTCCAGATTCAACAAACAAATATGGCAGCATATCCTAAAAGGCAAGAATGGAAGAGAGAACCAAAACAGTCTTTGTGGAATGAGGTTAGGAGAGGAAAATGCTCCTGGGGGACCAGCTCTGCCAGGGCTCCTGTCACTCTGCTGAGCCTTTCCAGGAGGGGAACCCGGCAGTCGTAGACTCAGAACAGCAGCGCGGTGACCTATGCCAGTGCCAGTTCCCAGCTCAGGCCTTTCCTTGCTTCTCAAATTGCAGCATTTAATGAGGTAAAACATCAGATTACAGCAATTCTTTTTTTTTTTTTTTTTTTTTTTTTTTTAATGAGAATTCAAGGAAGTTTCTGGCCTAGCATAGAAGTATGAAAGTATTTAACCTCTGCTCAGCAGTCTGCCCTTTGTTAACATTTCCCCTTCTCCGGTTGCCCACAAACTGCACTTTCTCAAGCAA